GAAGTGGAGATCGGTGGAGATGAAGGTCTTGGAGGATGGGAAGGAGGTGGAGATCTTGGAGGATGGGATGGAGGTGGAGATCTTGGAGGATGGGGTGGAGATCTTGGAGGATGGGGTGGAGGTGGAGATCTTGGAGGATGGGGTGGAGGTGGAGATCTTGGAGGATGGGGTGGAGGTGGAGATATTGAAGGATGGGATGGAGGTGATGTTGGAGGATGGGGTGGAGGTGGAGATCTTGAAGGAAGGGGTGTAGGTGGGGACGTTTAAAATGGAAAGGTGTAGAAGAGAGGAGTATGATAAGGTAGATATCTTGAGATGATTTCGGGGCTAAGCGTCCCTGCGGCTCGGTCCTCGACTAGGCCTCCTTTTTGTTATATACTCCTAGGAAGCAGCCCGTACCAGCTGTTTAACTCAAAGGACATATTTACTGCTAGATAACAGGGGCATCAGGGTGAAAGAAACTCTACCCCCTTGGTTTCCCTCTACACCGGGGATCGAACCCGGAACCTCAGGACTATGAATCCGAAGCGCTGTCCACTCAGCTATCAGGCGAGGTGGCGGAGTAAGAGGGAAGGGATGCGTGAGCATGTGATGGAGTGGGGGAGCGGAGGAGTGTGGTTCTAGAGGAGAGTGAATGGATAGATTGAGGGAAAATGCTGTCCAAGGAAGGGCTTGTAGGATGTTTAAGAATGTAAGGAAATGAATGGCAGGCCTCGTGCACTACTGGATGGCGGATATATACGCCAGAAGAGAATACTAATACCCGGATGATGTAGCATCTGTTTATGTATGTGTGAGAGAGAGGTATGAAGAGACGCCGATTTGCATAGGGGAGGGAGGTGTGCTAATACACGGGTTTGCGTAAGGAGGATGGAGGCATAAAGTCACAGGTTTGAATAAGGAGAGGGGGGGAGGGGAGGAGGAGGAATGAAGATATACCGGTTTGTTTAGGAAGTTGAGAAGATGTGGTTGGGTTCATTTAGATGTGCGGAAGAGGATTGTTCAACAAAAAACAGCAGATAGACCTAATATATAAGTATATCACAATATTCAGTTTCGAAAGAAGTCATTCATTTATTCCTGATTTTTAACTTCAATGAAAACTCTTAAGGTAGGAATCAAATTTAAGACGAAAGATGAAAATGAATAGCAAAACATGCGTTACCGAAATTGACTTGTCAATCAACTCCTCTGCAACATAATATAAAAGAAACCGTAGCAGTGAGTTGACGCAGAGATACAAAAGTAGTAGAAAAAGTGAATGGAAAACATTGAGGAGAAAAACAAAGGGTCATCTGGTGAGGGTGAGAGAGAGGAACATCATGGAAGGGGGAGGAGGGGTGCCTCAGTGAGGCTCAGGGGGCTGGAATGGGGGAGGGGAGTAAGGGGTAGTAGGAGTGAAAGGAAGTAGAAGGGGAACAGACCAGGAACGGGGTGAAAGGATAGATTGAAGAAGCGTGTAAGGAGGTAGGGAGCGGAGAGGAAGGGATTGAATGGGTAATGAGGTAGGGCAGGGCATGGGCAGAGGTAGCTGGAGTTCCATCAGGATAGCACACCTGGCACCAATCTGCATGCCATACTAATCAAAAACATCGGCTAAAAGGTAATTAAACGCCAAAAAAACATTTATAAAAACTATATTTATTCTCGATATGTTAAATAACAACAGACTATCCCCATAGTCCTGACACGCTGAGTGGGCGTCTCAGAATTATGGACAAGTTTTTTATGTATATAGGAACGTCAGTAACATAGAATTATGGGTCAAGCTGCGGGTCATCGTCGGACCTATTTCTCGAAGACGATGCCCTGAGCGCGCTGCTCCTCAGCAATGCGGATGAGCTCGTGGACGTGGGCGGGTAGCGGGTGGGGCGTCGGGATCAAGTCAGACTGTGGCTGGAAGCCGTTCTCATCAGCCTGGTAGACGATCAAAGCTGGCGTGCCGTCGGGGAAGGTGAAGCTGTTCAAAAGACACGAAATTAAAAGTTATCGTGTATTACACGAACACACTTAACACTGACATTCACAGACATGCAGTACTAGTAGAAATGTGAACAGACATAGAGGTATATATGCATACATACAGTTCTATTCAATCATATAGACATACACAGGTATGCATTTTTAAAGACCTAAAAAGGTCAACACATCTATACTCACATTGGAAAATATATTCGCAGGCGCACAGAGGTAAGTATAGGTAGATACATAGATGATAATAATTACACAGAGTCACAGAGATAAAACATACAGACACACACAGATAAACTTATTGATAGACAAGAAGTATTTGGTATACAGAGATAATCATACAGACATACATAGATATAAACACAGAGATTGACATAGAGATAAACACACACAAATAGATATACAGACAGACACAGAGATTGACACACAGACTTACCAACAGAGAAAACACACACACACACACACACACACACACACACACACACACACACACACACATATATGGTCCATCTTTTGGACCATATGTGTGTGTGTGGCTCATGCCCCCGAACTGAGGGGCATGAGCTACGAGGAGAGACTACGGAAATTAAATATCCCGTTGCTGGAAGACAGAAGAGTTCGTTGGGACATGATCACCACACACAAGATTCTCAAGGGAATTGATAGGGTAGATAAAGATAGATTATTTAACACAAAGGGCACACGCACTAGGAAACACAAGTGAAAATCGAGTGTCCAAATGAGCCATAGAGACATTAGAAAGAATTTTTTTAAGTATCAGAATAGTTGACAAGTGGAATGCACTAGGAAGTTCATGTGGTGGAGGCTGACTACATACACAGTTTTAAATGTAGATATGATAGAGCCCAATATGCTCAGGGACATGTACACCAATTGACTGACAGTTGAGAGGCGGGACCAAAAAGCCAGAGGTCAACCCCCACAAGCATAACTAGGTGAATACAACTAAGTGAGTACACACACAAACGCACACACACCGTCCCGTAAAGAGGGGGAGGGAAAATAAACAGGTATTAAAAAAATAAAGCTATTTAAATCAGCGAAAGAAAAATGAGTTTAAGAAGCAACACCACTAGACTACAGCAATGTTAGTTTCTCTTATCTCACCTGATGGAACCTTGCATGTTGCTCTGGCCCTTTGAACCCGGGGTACCAGTTCGCTCCTCGATTATCCCATTGCTAGTTTCAAAGTTGTACTGGAAGTTGCCGTCACCACTGTCACTGCGGTCATCGACTAGGGTCACGGCGTCCTTTTCAGGGCGGGGGGCGGCGGCGGCCAGGGCGACCAGGAGGGCGAGCAGTACCTATGGACACAGGATGGAATGTTAGATCGGTTTTCTTAATGACTAATGGGTTGATTCGCTATTGATTTGGAAGTTAATATATTAACTAGATGATTAGCACAGATGATGAGTCACAATAACGTGGCTGAAGAATGTTGATCAAACTACACACTAGAAGATGAAGAGATGACGCCGTCTTCTTTAGAATTCATTCAAATTTTGACAAGTTGATTGGCTATTTGATATTTCGACTAAATAGTTAATGAACTGAATGACTGATACATTGACTGGGCTGCTCTCCTCCTTGCTACACGCCAGTTAGGTCAGTGAGGCGGAACATTTTTGCAGGACGCGCCAAGTTTCCTGAAGAAGCATCTCAACAAAATATCTCCTTGACGCGCATCTCAACCAGCAATCTTGAGTTTCATTGCACAGTTTTTCAGGCAGAAATACTACTGACTCCACCATAATACAAATGATAACATCAAGTTATCAAAATAATAGCAATACAAATACTGCTTTTGGAACATTTACCAACAGTAAGAACTCGCTCTAGTAAGAAATATGAAGTAGGTAACAAGAGCCGAGTGTACTCACCAGCTTCATGTTGACGGTGTGAAGATCAGGTGGAAGATGCTGGTCAAGTGGCCGAGACGAGCTTTATATACAGTGGTCGGCAAGACAGGTTGTTTAGACTGTCAGTGAAGGGAACTTATGTAAGGGAGGAAGGGGGGTTAAAAGGTTGGGGGATGGGGAGGAAAAGAGAAAGGAAAAATGAGAGACCACGCACTTTCTGTGGGAGGGGAAGGGGTTGTTTGTTCTTATGGTGGACTGATCAAGGTGGTAAGATGGGGAAAGGGGGGTGGGAGATAAGGGACGAATATGGAAGACAGGGAAGGGTGGGGAAGATACGGAGGCGTGTGGAAGATAGGGAGAGGTGTGGAAAATAGAGAGGGAGTGAATGGTATGGAAGATAGGGAGAGGTATGGAAGATAAGGAGCGGTATGGAAGAAAGGGAGTGGTATGGAAGATGGGGAGCGGTATGGAAGATAGGGAGTGGTATGGAAGATGGGAAGGTGTGTGGAAGATAGGTGGAGGATGATGGAAGGCAATGAGTGGTCGAGTTTAGTTGAACGCGTCTATAAAATATCTTTTTCACAAGATACTGAAACATCTGAGGCTTCTCCAGGCGTCACTTACCCAGATTTCATTGATATCACACTCCAAGAAGTTTACTTCTCGGATATATAAGAACAGGTTCTCCAGTTTTCTCCTCGTCATAATTGTCAATGTTGCAAAGACGGACAACTGATACATGGCGATGAGCTATAATTAATCGCTAAGCTCCCCTTCAAATCATAACTTATGGCCAAATATAATGAGGTACTTAGATATTCTGATGCGTCAAATTTATTGAGAGTACACTGTCAGTGTTACCATTGGTCTAGATGACACTGACGGCTCTTGGAAAGGGGCTTCAGTATATGTTGAGAACAATATTCGTATGTTTAACATCATAACAGATAAAATAGGAATACAAAATTGAATTTCCATTCCTTATCCATCTCTCTCTCTCTCTCTCTCTCTCTCTCTCTCTCTCTCTCTCTCTCTCTCTCTCTCTCTCTCTCTCTCTCTCTCTCTCTCTCTCTCTCTCTCTCTCTCTCTCTCTCTCTCTCTCTCTCTAAATATATATCCTGAGTATATATGTCTCTACGTTTCTCAATATACATATATATTGAGAGACGATATATATATATATATATATATATATATATATATATATATATATATATATATATATATATATATATATATATATATATATATATATATATATATATATATATATATATATATATATATATATGACAATGTCAGACCACGGAGGAAAAATGAAACAGGAATTTCCTTAAGTACTTTCGTATATTAAATACATCTTCAGAAGGTCATTTTACAGATCGAGTGATGGGTATAAATAGGCAGGAGAGAGTGGTGAAGTAAGGTGAGGTACAATACTTGGACAACGCAGACGGCCCATTTGCCCATCAGATGCACCCAATTGGCCCATCCGATGTAGCCCAATGGCCCATCTGATACAGCAGACATACAAGCATAATACATAGGTAATTATAACATAAAGAGGTAAATATATACAATAAATTAGTGAGACAAATGTTTTTCAATGATCCTACTTAAATCGCCCTTTAGCTGATCTATTAGAAATGGATCTAAGTTATATAGACCACTGCTAATATTCAAATTACTTTCTTTGGTGATCTGTATCAAAGCAGATTCAATTATGTTTCTGTTATAGGTGCTTTTACAATTTGTTATTGAAGAAATCTTCAAATTTAAATCTTCAAATAAAATTTCCCATCATGAACGAAATATAAATTGATCGATTAAAATTTTATTGTTCATGGTCCTATCAAAACACGAAGTTTCTCTGCTTAAGGTAATTATTCTTTGTATTACAAACCAGTGTGAAACCAGTTATTTCAGGGTCCATTAAACTGACCTGTAATTCAAATGTTTTTGAAAATCTACGACGCTCGTCCGCGACATCTTAAGGAGTATTGTGAGAAAACCAGATTAACTGTCTAACAAAAATGGCTGCCTGATTAAATATAAGAACAAATTTGCTTAAAATGAAGAAAAAAAATGGGTAAGCTACACATTTAATACAAGGAGAGTTCAAGGGTTGACGTCTTCCTGCAGTGGGTGTGGCTTTTGGCCTTGGCACTCTCTCTAGTCACCTTTCTCTTTCTCGGTCTCAACAACTTCCCTTCTCTCGCTCAGACAGCCTCAGAAATAACCAGTTGCCCTTCTAACACTAACTGAGCATCATCACCCATCAGATTCATACTGACTCAACTTCAGCATGCTCCAGTGTTCCATCTTTCTCCTTCAGGCACTCCTCCTCTGCCTGATCGCTGTGGCCGCCGCTGCCCCAGAGAAAGACGCCTACACTCTGGTGGACGAAAGAACTAACCTTGGAGAGGGACACTTTTTTTACAAATATGAAACCAGCAACGGAATCTCCGTCCAAAAGACTGGCACCCCGGGCGTCGAGGGCCAGAGCAACATGCATGGCTCCTTCAGGTGATTATCACATCTCAATAGTTAAGAGCACTTAACTATTGAACATTTCTAGTAATAAACAAGATTCCTTCCCCAGGTTCACTCTCCCCGACGGTACCATCGCCGAGGTCCGCTACATCGCCGACGAGAACGGCTACCAGCCGAAGATTTCCCTCATCCCAACACCCCGCCCGCTCTCCGCCCTCGATTTTGCCTTTCGGGCTATCGTCGTCGAAGACCGTCCCAGCAAGAACACCGCTGTCATTCGCAGTCCTGTATAGAGTGCGCTGACTGGCGAGCATAGCTTCGGGCTCATCTCATGCCCACAAACACCTACGGTACACAGTTTTTCTTACTTGGGAGAAAAATACTTCCTCATATTATTTAATTAGAATGCAATAAATGTTTGGCAGTCTCCAGGACGATAACAAGGAATATTGTTTTAATAGTCCTGATATGAAATATTGGCATCAAGGAAATATTACTTACAAAAGCACAACAAGGATTTTTAAAGGTAATTTAAATATTTCATATAATGGAACTATCCGAGGAGAGGTTGCTGGAACCATCCGGTTGGAGGTTGCTGGAACCATCTGGGTGGAGGTTGCTGGAACCATCCGGGTGGTGGTCGCTGGAACCATCCGGGTGGTGGTCGCTGGAACCATCCGGTTGGAGGTTGCTGGAACCATCCAACACCTTCCTATGGTCGCTGGAACCATCCGGGAGGAGGTTGCTGGAACCATCCGGGTGGTGGTCGCTGGAACCATCCGGGTGGTGGTCGCTGGAACCATCCGGTTGGAGGTTGCTGGAACCATCCGGGTGGGGGGTCGCTGGAACCATCCGGGTGGAGGTTGCTGGAACCATCCGGGTGGTGGTCGCTGGAACCATCCGGGTGGTAGTTGCTGGAACCATCCGGGTGGAGGTTGCTGGAACCATCAGTTGGCACTTTGATGGAACCATCAGGGAGCAGGTAGGACATTCCCTCTGCCTCTAAGGTTCATCTATCCTAAAAGTTTGGTAACATCTGCCCGATGTACTCTATTGCAACCTCTGCCTGTGGCTGACAGTGGCAACATGTTCATGGGGTACACGGAGGCAATGTTTTCCTGGTGCATGCCGTGCCAACATCTTCCCTGGAAGGATGGTGGCAACATCTTCCTGGGGTAGACAGTGACAACATCTTCCTGGGGTAGACAGTGACAACATCTTCCTGGGGTAGACAGTGGCAACATCTTCCTGGGGTAGACAGTGGCAACATCTTCCTGGGGTAGACAGTGACAACATCTTCCTGGGGTAGACAGTGGCAACATCTTCCTGGGGTAGACAGTGACAACATCTTCCTGGGGTAGACAGTGACAACATCTTCCTGGGGTAGACAGTGACAACATCTTCCTGGGGTAGACAGTGACAACATCTTCCTGGGGTAGAGGGTAGCAACACCTTCCTATGGCAAACTGTTGCAACATCTACCAGAGGAACATGCCAACATCTGCCTGAATCAGATTGCTGTAACATTTACTCTGGTAAAAATTAAAATAGTAACCAGTGGTAGGCGGTTGCAACATCTACGTAGAGAAGGAAGCGGCAGGCATCAAACGCAGCAGAGAAAGCTTAAACGATGCTCACGACTAGACAGCATGATCCCCCCTCCCCCCCCCCTAGATCACCGTGATGACGAAAGGCATGAAACTTAAGTCTGTGGATCAAATTTTGTTTCAGAACCGACCATTAAGCTGATGTTTCCAAGGTTCTTTCTCTGGCCCAACGTTGTGGACATCCGGAAAACAGTTGAATGGACAAACCCTGCCGCACAGCATCCATCAGCTTGACATTGGAGAAACTTTATTAAAAAGCATTATCAGTTCAGCAGTATTCTCACAACAAATTGGTTTTCAACAGACTCAAATAATACTGCACAGATGACTCCAGTATCACAATGTACCCCGGCCCACAGATGGCTTCAACATCACAATGTACCCTGGCCCACAGATGGCTCTAGCACCACAATGTACCCTGGCCCACAGATGGCTCCAGCACCACAATGTACCCTGGCCCACAGATGGCTCTAGCACCACAATGTGCCCTAGACTACAGATGGCTCCTTCATCACAGCTTAAACTGTCTCACAGATGGCTCCTTCATCACAGTATACACTATCTCACAGATGGGATTAGCATGCCTCAGTACCTAAAAATTACCATATCATAATTCAGATAAAGAATACACCAGCAGAAGAACCTCAGAGAAACACTCGATAATGGAAGACTAACATGAACTGAAGGAAGAAACTACCTTGGATTCTACAACTTACACTTGAAATGTCTTTATCTGTGTAGTCTTGAAGAAAACTTGGAAAATAGTTAAAAAGCAGAAAGAGAGATGAGAAAGAGAGAGAGAGAGAGAGAGAGAGAGAGAGAGAGAGAGAGAGAGAGAGAGAGAGAGAGAGAGAGAGAGAGAGAGAGAGAGAGAGAGAGAGAGAGAGAGAGAGAGAGAGAGAGAGAGAGAGAGAGAGAGAGAGAGAGAGAGAGAGAGAGGGAAGAAAGAAACAGATAGAGACAGAGATTGAGAAAGAGAGGGAGAGAAACAGACACGTAGGAAGGGATTGATAAAAGCATTTGTTCAATTAGAATAACCTCTCTTCGAATGCAAGTTAACGCGAGAGAAGCCAGATCAAAATAGAACGACAAATATTACTCTTTGTTGTGTAAGGAAAGCATTTCCCGGCTAACGAGCGTATCTCTTCCTTTACGAGCTTGAGGTCAGACAGATGCTATCTGTACCCCGAAGATGAAGCAGACAAGCCCACGAGGAAAGTGACGAAAGTGAGAGAGGTGAGGTGGTAGAAGAGAGGGAATTTGAGACAGGATAGAGACAGAGAAGAGCAGAAACACACATATATATAAATATATGTATGTGTGTGTATGTATATATATATATATATATATATATATATATATATATATATATATATATATATATATATATATATATATATATATATATATATATATACATATATATGTATATATATACATATATATGTATATGTATATATATATATGTGTATGTGTGTGTGTGTGTATGTGTGTGTCGTACCTAGTAGTCGGAACGCACTTCTCGGCCTACTATGCAAGGCCCAATTTGCCTAATAGGTCGAGTGATTTTTTTAATTTTCAATCAAATGTTTCCAGTTCGTTTATTTTAAATATTTTTAGTATATTATATTAAGAACATAAATTATTGATTTAGTTATGTTAGTTTAAGTTAGGTTAAGATAGGTTAGGTTGGGTAGGTTAGGTTCGGTCATATATCTCCATTCCATATTGCCTTGCACAAGGTTTATCTTGCACAATTACAGCTATTCCTTTGTAATGGGTAAAAGATGTTACCTATTACATAATCACGTCTGCCTCCTAATAAATGACTTTGGGTATCCGTAATAAACACTGTTAATCTGTTGTCATAAGCATATTTGATAAATTTGCATCCATTATCATTGTTAGTACTGTCTCCCAGCGTAATATGTCTAGAATTAAAATCTCCCATGTATATTGTCCCATGATTGTCTAGATCTGGGAGCAATGACATTATTAAGAGGAGCCTTACCACAGCCGGTTGTCCAGTAGAGAGAGAGATAACATCGTTACCCAATACCCCGCAATTCTGATGAGCCTGTCGGTCGCCCAGATGGGATCACGATGAACCCCTGGAAGAATGGTAGACAGTTGGTGAGGGACTACACTTGCGTTTCAACTTTAGCCAAAACCTATGTTGACTTCAATGTTGCACAGCTAGGCGGTGCTGTCAATCACCGGGAAGCAGCCAAGTCTCGTAAATACAGAGATCTTGATCACCACTACAATTTTGTCCCCATTGGGTATCATAATTCAACCATTTCATTTGATTTTCAAATGTCAGCATTAATTCAGAATTAGTCACCACACAAGAAATTGAGAGCAACTATGGCTGACTGCCCCTGAAAATCACACTACACATAAAATGAAACACACAATATATGACAACTTTACAGTTTACTCATCAAGTTCGCAGAGACTAAGTTTTGTAGAGAGGAGGGGAGGTGGTACGGCTGACAGAGTTCCCACCCGGCCAAGTAACAAAAGGTGTTACTTTTGAATTCTTAGGGCCGATAACCTGGCGCCACTGATATCCTGTGTGACTGACTGCCATTGTATGTGAAATAAATGGCATATAAATATAATTTATTGAACAATTTCCCTTGGAACTCTATCAACCATTTGGTTAGCAACGAAGTAATCAATTACTGCTGGGGAAATGGGTGTGATTAAAAAGGATTCGAATCTAGACCAAAAGTGTACGACAAACGTTGGGGCAAGGATGCAACGAGCAGTGTTGTTGGAGATGGCCATATGGAAGAGATGGTATGATGTGAACTCAGGCAGCGTTGGTTGATAGACCAACATGTAGCAGGAGAAAACGTCTAAGGCATTAGTCATACCGGATAAACAAATACAGCAATGCAAACATTATATTTATTGAACATTTATGATAACGTCGAGTGAGTCTAGTGTTTTGTGTGATGGAGTACAGACAGGAAGGTCAACTTCGTGTTTATTTATCGAAGGTGATACCCTGGCGGCGTTGTTCTTCGGCGACGCGGATCTGCTCGATGGCGTGGGCGGGGAGAGGGTGGGGCGTAGGGATCAGCGGAGACTCAGGCCTGTAGCCTAGCTCGTCGGCGACATAGCGGACCTCAGCGACGGTGCCGTCAGGGAGTCTGAACCTGAGGTATGAATATTGTTACAATAATTTTTGTTGAATTATATATATACAGTTAATGACAATTAAATCAGTTATTATATATAATGTTTCTAAATCCTAAATTTGTTACTCACCTGAAGGCGCCCTGCATGTTGCTCTGGCCCTCGGAGCCCGGGGTTCCGGTCTTCTGGGCGGCTATTCCGTTGCTGGTTTCAAAGTTGTAATAGAAGTTTCCGTCTCCGGAGTCACTTCGCTCGTCCAGCACGATCACAGCGTCTTTTTCTGATTGCTGAGGAGCGGCAGCGGCCACGACCACCAGGCTGATCAGGAGTGTCTGAAAAGAGAAGGTCTGAAATATAAAGAATGCCTCAAGCTGAGAAGACTGTGTAGAGATGCGAAGGTACTGAGTACCGACCCTGTGAAGAAGATAGAAGGGAAGCTCTTACGCAATAGCTCTTTAGTCCAGGTTATAAACCCTATGACGAAGTGTGTGCAATATTTCGAGACTGTTAGATTCTGTTTTTGTTTGCTCTTTCGCCTCAATTTCTCTTAACAGCGTATTTTTTTTTTCCATTACTATTATAACAATAATTTTTTTTACATATTTCCGTTGTTCATTCGGGTACTTATTTTTCATCTGTCCACTTATTCTTATATTCAAAGATAAAAAATCTATTTATGTGGGATCATGTCATCCCTGTTTTTTCTCTTCTAGTAATGCGACGTTTAATTCTCTCGGCCTTTTCATCGTAATTCTTATTTAACAGTTCTGAACATTCACCAACATCTTCCCGTGTTCATCTAAAAAATGACACCACACGAGTGGTGTATATTACATAAATAATCTAATATGAATTCTGAACTACAGGCTTGTTGTTATGCATAAGAGAATGTCTTATGCTGGCAAGGCATGTATACATGTAGCTCATTACATTTGTTTGATGAGGTCTTCTTTTGACACATTCAAGTCTACTTCTAACCGGAAGTCGATTTCTCTGTATGAATGCATAAGGGTTTTATATTCCATATGAAATATGGAATATTCATATTCCATATGAAACATATTCCATATGTTTCATATTCCATATGTTTCATATTCCATATGAAACCTTGTATCCAGTCTCGTGTTTGCTATCACCAACTAGTGTATGTTAAGTGTCGTAATACTCACAAGCTTCATGTTGTTGGTGTGAAGTCCAGCTGAGGATACCTCCCAGCTGCCAGAGACGTCCTTTATATACCCCCACCCGTGACTGAACACAAGGGCGGGGAAACGCGACCTCACCTGGTCACGATCCGAACGCGTTTTTATGTCTGTTTCAAAACTTATATCCCATGTCACACAAGTGGTCAGGAAAGAACTGATTAGCCAAGAAGCAGAGTATATATATATATATATATATATATATATATATATATATATATATATATATATATATATATATATATATATATATATATATATATATATATATATATATATATATATATATATATATATATATATATATATATATATATATATATATATAGCCAGAACTTAAGCCAAGTTTTCATGAATAATATATATATATAACCTATATTTTTCCGCTATATAACCTAACCTATAAAGTATATATATATATGTTATATATCTATATTTTAACTCCATATATATTCGTAATATATTATATATATATATATATATATTCAGGAAAACTTTGTATTATATATATATATATATATATATATATATATATATATATATATATATATATATATATATATATATATATATATATATATATATATATATATATATATATATATAGCAGTCTTTCTTCTAAATTTATGTTGTTAAATATGATCGAAAAAGTAAGATTAATAATTCTAACACGAATTTTCTCAATATTTCTCATGTTTCTTTTTACTGTCGATGGTAATTGAAAAATCAACTCTCCGAAATTCATTTTTATTTCTTGTCTGACGCGACGCTTGAACGCGTTTCGTAATAACTTATTACATTTTCAAAGACTTTAGCTTGCACACACAACTGTAATCTGAAAACACTAAACAGAGTCAGCAAATCCGTCATACTTATACTCGCATTTGGGAGAGGTGATATGGTGCAACAGTTTTGGATGAGGTGAACAAACTTTTGACAAATGCAAGACAACACGAAACTGTGGATATTAATTGGATATGAGAGCATAAGAATGGAAGTAACTGCAGAGGGCCTATTGGCCCATACTTCCTCTTGCTGCTTCTATATTGGTTCGGAGTCTTGAAGTGGGTAGAATATAGTTGTGCATTAATTGGCTGTTGCTTGCTGGTGTTGTCTTTTTGATGTGTAGTGCCTCGCAAATGTCGAGCCGCCTGCTATCGCTGTACATAACGATGATTTCTGTGTTGTTTGTTAAGACTTCTCTGGTGATGGTCTGATTATGAGAGGAGATTATATGTTCCTTGATGGCGCCCTGTTGCTTATGCATTGTTAGTAGCCTGGAAAGTGACGTTGTTGTCTTGTCTATATACTGAGTTCTTTGGGGCTTACAGTCCCCAAGTGGGCATTTGATGGTATAGACGACGTTGGTTTCCTTCAAGGCGTTCTGCTTTATGTCTGGAGAGTTTTTCATGAGTAGATTGACCGTTTTTTGGGGGGGTTTTAAAGTAAATCGTCAATTGTATTTTTTTATTTTTGTCTGTAGGGATAACGTTCCTATCAACAATATCTTTCAGGACCCTTTCCTCCGTTTTATGAACCGTCAAAAAGAAGTTCCTGTAAAATAGTCTAATAGAGGGTACATGTGTTGTGTTAGTTGATTCTTCAGAGGTTGCATGGCGTTTCACATTTCTTTTTATGATGTCTTCAACAAAACTATTAGAGAAGTCGTTATTGACTAGGACCTGCCTTACCCTACATAGTTCTTCATCAACTTGCTTCCATCCAGAGCTGTGGCTGAGAGCACGGTCGACGTAAGCGTTGACAACACTCCTCTTGTACCTGTCTGGGCAGTCACTATTGGCATTGAGGCACATTCCTATGTTTGTTTCCTTAGTATAAACTGCAGTGTGGAAGCCTCCGCTCCTTTCCATGACTGTTACATCTAGAAAGGGCAGCTTTCTATCCTTCTCCATCTCGTGAGTGAAACTCAACACAAAATTCCGCTCAAATGCCTCCTTCAGCTCCTGCAGATGTCTGGCATCAGATACCTGCGTAAAAATGTCGTCAACATACCTGCAGTATATGGCGGGTTTCAAGTCCATGTCAACTAAGACCTTCAGCTCAATGGTACCCATGTAATAGTTCGCAAAAAAGCCACCTAGGGGAGAACCCATGGCGATCCCATCTACTTGCTTATACATGTGCTCATCTGGGCTGAAGAAGGGTGCCTCTTTAGTGCAAGCTTGGAGTAGTTTCCTAAGTATGTTTTCTGTTATGTCAAGAGGAGTACAAGCCGGATCTCGATACACTCTGTCCGCAATCATCCCGATTGTTTCATCCTATCCATCACTCTGTCTATCACTCTATGCATCTGCTTTTTAATATATGTAGCCTTCTATCCATTAATCAATCTATGCATCTGTCAATCAAGCTATCCATCTTCCTATGCATATATCTCTCCATGTATCCATACATCATTACATCCATCCATCTATCCTTTTATCTACCCATTTATCTATTAATCTATCCCTGAATCCATATATTTATCCACCTTTCCACCTATATTTATTTCTGTCAATCCATCTGTGCATGCATCCATCTATCTATCCATGGATCTGTTTATCGCTCTCTCCATGCATCTGTACATCTATCTATCAATTTGTCTATAAATCTATTTTTCCTTCAATCAATCCAAATATCTAACCATAATCATTCTATCTATCCATATAGCCATTCATATATTCGTCCATCTACTCATCTATCTATCCATCTGTCTATTTATCCTTCCAACTATCTATTTATCCATCCATCTATCTATCCATCTACCTGTTCTTCTATCTATATAGCCTTCAATCTATTAGTCTCCATCAATTAGTCCTTCAATCTTTCTATCTGTTCATCTTGCAATCCATCTATATATCCACCCATCTGTCTGTCTCTGTCTCTCTCTTATAAAAAAAACTGGAAGAGTACCCGGCATTGCCTGGATCTGCCTGTCTCTCATCTATCAATCTATTCAACTATCCATCTCTTCATCCATCTATATTACCATCTATATATCAATTCATCTATCCATCCATCGACCAATCTATGCGTCCGTTTATCTATATCCATCAATTTAACCTTCTATTTATCCACCTGTTTATTCATCTATCCATGCATCTACCCACTTATCCACCTATGAAACTATATTTTTATCATCCATCTATTTATCATTCTCTCTCTTTATCCATCCATTCATTTAACTATCTCTCCATCCATGAATCCACCTATCTGTCCATCCATCCATCTATCTGTCAATTCATCTACTCATATCTCACCGGCATGATTTTCTCACAGAATATAATAGTTTCCCCATTCCGAATTTGTGATTAGGTTCAATTTGTTATGGGTTAGGAGGTTAATTTCAAAATATAAGTTATGTGTTTTATGTTGATTAGTGTTCTAATATGTTGTAAACATCTAAAGCAGTCACTTGAACCATAACGGATAAACAAATACATAAATATAAACATTATATTTATTTAAAAATTGTGATAACGATGAATTAGTATAGTGTCTAAAGTACACGCTGGAAGTTCGAGAAATAGGTCGTCCTTGTGTTTATTTATCGAAGGTGATGCCCTTGCGGCGTTGTTCTTCAGCGACGCGGATCTGCTCGATGGCGTGGGCGGGGAGAGGGTGGGGCGTGGGGATCAGTGGAGACTCGGCGCGGTAGCCGAGCTCGTCGGCGACGTAGACGACCTCAGCGACGGTCCCGTCGGGGAGTCTGAACCTGTGGTATGAGTATTATTAATTATAATACTTTTGCTGAATTATATATTTACAGTCAATAAATATTTAATCAATTGATGTCTAATGTTTCTAAATGCAAAATTTGTTGCTCACCTGAAGGAGCCCTGCATGTTGCTCTGGCCCTCGGAGCCCGGGGTTCCAGTCTTCTGGGCGGCTATTCCGTTGCTGGTTTCAAAGTTGTAATAGAAGTTTCCGTCTCCGGAGTCACTTCGCTCGTCTAGCACGATCACAGCGTCCTTTTCTGATTGCTGAGGAGCGGCAGCGGCCACGACCACCAGGCTGATCAGGAGTGTCTGAATGTAGGAAGAGGCGTTCATGAGTGCTGAGGCTGAATCAGTCAAAGAGGAGTCTGACGTCTTTGCTAAATATTTCCAATACTAGGCAACAAAGTGCCTAGTATAAGAAATTTGATATTATTTGACGAAATCCATCGGAGCCGTAATAAGGATTTGAACCTATGCGCTGACAACCAAAACGCACCCTCTAGACGACTTCGCCAGGACATGGGCAAAAGATATGCCTACGACATGAGCAAATGAAAGGCCTACGACAAAGGTAAATGCCATAGAGTAGGCTTCTAGAACATGCGTCTGGAAACACCCAGCCCATAGGTACGATTGCTTATCACCACTCCTGTGGATTTCCTAATTGTATGTATCACGTTAGTGTGCTTTCTCTCTGTATAGATAATATTTTTACCTGGCGCTCTCATTAAACATTCTATGAATATTATCATTTATGAATATTAGGATTAATGCTCGACAGTCTATTAAGATATGGGCAACACTTGTGACAATTAACATTAAACATAACGAGAAAATCCAGGAAGGTTAAAAACGAATCTCCATTATAAGTGTTTCACAACAAACTCATCACGAGAACACAGGGTCATTACATTATAATAGTTATTCCTGTCTTGTTGAGTGAATTTAAGGACCATGAGCTTACAGGTTAATTGTAGTTTTTCACGAGTAAAGTTTAGTTGCATTAATACATGCACGACTTTTTTTAAATGTTAAGTACAAATAAACTTAAATCTAAGAAGAAATTCGCATGATTGTGTAAAGTTTGCAGCGAGTTCAATGCTCTCTACTGCTCTGTCTGAGCCAGAACTCACGAGCTTCATGTTGTCGGTGTGAGGACCAGCTGAGAATACTTTTCAGCTGCCCGGAACGAGTTATATATACCCCCCACCAGTGACTGAACACAAGGGCGGAAAACTCGACCTCGCCCCGTGATGATCTGAACCGGTTTTTATTTCTGTGTCAAAACATATTTAACATGACACCCAACAGAATAAGAGACAGATGATCAACCAAGTGGCCGGTTTCTTTTGGTTCTTTGAAATGAAGGAAGTATGTCTCCTACATAATCTATATATATATATATATATATATATATATATATATATATATATATATATATATATATATATATATATATATATATATATATATATATATATATATATATATCTATATATATATATATATATATATATATATATATATATATATATATATATATATATATATATATATATATATATATATATATATATATATATATATATATATATTTATATATATATACCTATATATTCAGTTTTGAATATATTGAGTTTTCAGTTGCATATTGTCCTGGGGACCATTCAGGCTTGTTCGCATATATGTTGTTGAACATGATCGAAAAGGTAAGATTAATAATTCTAACACGAATTTTCTCAACATTTCTTATGTCTCTTTTCACTGTCGATGGTAATTAAAAAATCAATTCTCCAAAATTCATTTTTATTTCTAGTCAGACGCCTGAACGCGTTTCGTAATAACTTATTACATTTTCATAGACTTTAGTTTACAGACACAACTGTAACTTGTAAACACGCAAAATACATCCATACTTATACTCGCATTTGGGTAAGGTGATATGGTACAACAATTTTGGGTGAGATGATTGACATTTATACATGATAGAACACGAACCAATGGGCATAAAAACATAAGAATGGTAGTAATAGCAGAAGGCCTATTGGCCCATGATGCTTCCTCTTAATGCTTCAATATTGGTGCGGAGTCTTGAAGTGGGTAGAATATAGTTGTGCATTAATTGGCTGTTGATTGCTGGTGTTGACTTTTTGATGTGTAGTGCATCGCAGATGTCGTGCCTCCTACTATCGCTGTATCTATCGAGGACTTCTGTGTTGTTTGTTAAGATTTCTTTGGTGATATTCTGGTTGTGGGAAGAGATTATATGTTCCTTGATGGAGCCCTGTTGTTTATGCATTGTTAATCGCCTGGAAAGTGACGTTGTTGTCATGCCTGTATTCTAAGTTCTTTGAGGCTTACAGTCCCCAAGGGGCATCTGAAGGCATAGACGACGTTGGTTTCCTTCAAAGCGTTCTGCTTGGTGTCTGGAGAGTTTTTCATGAGTAGGTTGGCCGTTTTTTTGGTTTTATAGTAAATCGTCAATTGATTTTTCTGATTTTTGTCTGTAGGGATAACGTTCCTATCAACAATATCTTTCAGGACCCTTTCCTCCGTTTTATGAGCCGTTGAAAAGAAGTTCCTGTAAAATAGTCTAATAGGGGGTACAAGTGTTGTGTTAGTTGACTCCTCAGAGGTTGCATGCGTTTTACCTTTCATTTTATGATGTCTTCAACAAAACCGTTAGAGAAGCCGTTGTTGACTTGGACCTGCCTTACCCTACAGAGTTCTTCATCGACTTGCTTCCATCCAGAGCTGTGGCTGAGAGCACGGTCGACGTAAGCGTTGACAACACTCCTCTTGTACCTGCTTGGGCAGTCACTATTGGCATTGAGGCACATGCCTATGTTTGTTTCCTTAGTGTATATTGCAGTGTGGAAGCCTCCGCTCCTTTCCGTGACCGTTACATCTAGAAAGGGCAGCTTCCCATCCTTCTCCATCTCGTAAGTATCGTAACTATCTAAGTAACATCTCGTAACTATTATCTAAGCCAGCATTTTTACAGATCGAGAATCATTCTTCACACGAATCCGATTTTAATATTTTGTACACTTGCACGAATGGCCAGTCAGAGTTGCAAATAATGGAATCTCTGTATATCAGGGAGCTGGGGAGTCTGCTAAATAATAATGCACCAGCTGTCCAATTGTAAATTTCATCAAAGTTTCGGTTCTATTTGTTACATTACCAGTCCACTATTTGTTACATTTGTTACACCTCCAGTCTCCGTGGTGTAGTGGTAAGACACTCACCTGGCTTTCCGCGAGCGCTCTGTCATGGGTTCGTATCCTGGCTGGGGAGGATTTACTGGGTGCAAATCCTTAACTGATGCCTCTGTTCAACTCAACAGTTAAAATGGGTACTTGGTTGTAACAACGATTCTTCGTGGGGGATCGTATTCCAGGGACCTGCCCGAAACGCTACGTGTACTAGTGGTTGTACAAGAATGTAACAACTCTTGTATATATCTAACCAAAAAAAATGAATACTTCATTATGTATATATTTCTTAGTATACCCTTCATTGAGGCTTTAGTGCTCATTTTCAGTGGTCATATACTTTTACCTACACAATTGAGATACTCAGTAAAATGCTTTTTGGTTTTTACGGTATCATATTGTTTTATTATTATTATTATTTGTGCAAATAGATTCTATAACATTGTGCAAATGTTCTATAAAATTTAAATTTTTGTTTGTATAAGATTTTTACATATTTTACATTATTATTTATAATTTTGAGTTATTATTTGGTATCGCTTCGAATTATTATCAAATTTTCATTCGACAAAGTTACGTAAGTTATGTTTTGTTCTTCATTATTATGATTTATTTTTTTTATTTTTTTAATCTCTGTATGTTTGTAATCTTGTTAAGTATAAAATCTTGGTTTTGCTGGATAGCTTTTAATATAACACTTTTATACTTTAGATCTGATGATAAATATGGGATGTATTCGAAACTTTATGGATTATAATTTAAGATGTTTGTCACGTCAATGAATTTTAATTTCAAGAAAAACAGTAGGACGATTGACATGGCAAACTTCTTCTTTAATTATTTTTTTACTTTTAATTATATAATATTGGTAGTTGATTTTCGTTTAGACATGATTCGTTTATTATGAATGCATATTCTATGTTGATTTTCTTGTTTAGGGATTTTATCCCTCTAATGCTCTTGCATCTTTCTTTAATTGGAAGAAGATTTCTCCGAATGTCATATATATTCAAGTTGACATAAAAAACAAAAACTAAATGTATAAGGTATTATGCTTATTATAATTTGGAGCTTACAAGATTCATCTCAAATGAGGAATGACAAAACATGAGGAAATCAAGCCCTAATCCAAACTTACATACTCTTGGGCTTAGCAAAGCACACATGTACTAAATTAGGGCTAAGATGGCCTGTATTACATTTAGGATTTCTAGGAGAGGTTAGGTTAGGTCTTCTTTTTTAAGTTGCTGTTAAAGTTTCCCATTTGATCAACCTCAGTAATACAAAAATCAACTTTCTCTAGGTCCAACATTATATATTGGTACTTTATTGGTACTTTCGATCAAATAGTCACTATAAGTACTGTCATTTTAGGAGGATGTGCATATATATATATATATATATATATATATATATATATATATATATATATATATATATATATATATATATATATATAGACTAGGAGAGGTAGCCGGGGATAATATTCCCCCAGCATACGCAAAACGTTTATCTATCGTTTTTGATTGGTTGTTGAAAGGTAACACTGTATATAAATTTGAGCATTTATCGTTTAAAACACTTTAATTTCGGTCAACCAAATCCTTGACCTTTTAACACTCAGCCAAATGACGTTTTAATAATGTTTAAGTACAATTATTTAATGTTTGTGTGTGTGCGTTAGTGTGCACTTGTGTGTGTTTGAGTGTATGTATTTGCGTATATGAATGTTTGTGGTGATTGTATATATGTACTCAAGTGTCAGGTGGTGTGTACCGCTAATTGTCAGATGATCGTGGCCAAAAATCAGTATTGTTTGAAACCCTGATTTTGGCTTAGGTGGGATACGTGGCATTTCCTGGGGTCTCTCTCATCTGTCCATCAATCCATCTATTTCTCTATCCATCCATCATTCTATCCTGCATTTCATTTTCATCAGCAGAAAGAAGCTTTCTGTCTGTCCATATATCCATATATGTATCCATCTATTCATATATATATATATATATATATATATATATATATATATATATATATATATATATATATATATATATATATATATATATATCCAAATATCCAAATATCTATCAATTTGTGTATTCCGTCTATCCATCTAAACATTCACCTATAAATAGTTAAAGGCATAGGGAGAGTGGGGGAGAAGAGAGTGGAAATTAAGAGATAATGAGAAGAGAGTGGTAGGGGGAGGGAAGTAGAGAGGGAGGGAGAGAGTGAGTGAGAGAATGAGTGAGAGAGTGTGAGTGAGAGAGAGAGTGTGAGTGATAGTGAGTGTGAGAGTGAGAAAGAGAGAGAGGGAGGGAGGGAGAGAGGGGGGAGGAGGGAGGAAAGAGAGAGAGGGGAGGTATAGAGTTCGAGGGAGAGATGAAGAGGGAGAAAGAAGTATAAGAGCGAGTGAAAGATATTGAGAGTGCGAAAGGGAGAGAGACTAGAACTGGTGTAGCTGTAGCTGCTGCAACCTGTGCTACAGGTGTCCCTGGACAGCAGACTTCATCAATGGAAACCCTCTCTCGTCAATTGAGAAAGTTGTATTGGAGCTGATGTTATGGGCTGAGGGGAGTTGATACGAACTAAGTGTTCAAGAAGTAATTGTTGATATACCAACATGAATTAACAAAAAACGTCAAATAAATCAAGTAAACTATACCGGATAAACAAATACAGCAATGCAAATATTATATTTATTTTTCATTTATAAAAACGTTCGGGAAGTCAAGTTTTAAAAATAACAAAAGTATGTCAACAGGAAGGTCGTCCTCGTGTTTATTTATCGAAGGTGATGCCCTGGCGGCGTTGTTCTTCAGCGACGCGGATCTGCTCGATGGCGTGGGCGGGGAGAGGGTGGGGCGTGGGGATCAGTGGAGACTCGGCGCGGTAGCCGAGCTCGTCGGCGACGTAGCGGACCTCAGCGACGGTCCCGTCGGGGAGTTTGAACCTGTGGTATGAATATTGTTAATCGCATCAGTTTTGTTGTATTATATATATTTACAATCAATAAGTTATATCAATTAGTAGCTTATTTCTTAAATGCAAAATTTGTTGCTCACCTGAAGGAGCCCTGCATGTTGCTCTGGCCCTCGGAGCCCGGGGTTCCGGTCTTCTGGGCGGCTATTCCGTTGCTGGTTTCAAAGTTGTAATAGAAGTTTCCGTCTCCGGAGTCACTTCGCTCGTCCAACACGATTACAGCGTCTTTTTCTGATTGCTGAGGAGCGGCAGCGGCCACGACCACCAGGCTGATCAGGAGTGTCTGAGTGTAGGAAGAGGCGGTCATGAGTGCGGAGGCTGAGTCAGTGATAGAACGGAAACTGCTGGTGAGTGTTGAGGCTGAATGAGTCAAAGAAAAGTGTGACTTCTTTGTTGAAAGTTTCTAGTACTAGGCAACAAAGTCCTCTCTTCTTGGTGCTCTAATTAAACGGATTTCGACGACACTTGTGATAATTAACATTGAACATAACGAGCTGTTCACCAAGAACACTCAAAACGCAATTATACTATAAAATGTATTTCAAAGCAGACTCATCACGGGAACTCTGAGACATTATATTGCTATAGTCATTCCAGATATTTTGCTGCTGAGACAATTTAAATACCCTGAACTTGCCGGATGAGTAAAGTCATCGAGTAAAATTCAGTTGCAGTAATACTTGCATGACCTTTTAAATGCTAAGTTCAAATAAACTAAAATCTAAGAATAAATTAGCATGATTGTATAATATATGCAGCGAGTTCAATGCTCTCTACTGCTCTGTCTGAGCCAGTACTCACAAGCTTCATGTTGTCGGTGTGAGGACCAGCTGAGGATACCTCCCAGCTGCCCGGGACGAGCTATATATACCGCCACCAGTGACTGAACACAAGGGCGAGAGGGCGGGAAACTCGACCTCACCTCTTCACGCTTCGAACCGGTTTTTTTTTTTAACATATTTCCTCTGTCACACAACTGGACAAGAGACAGAGGGCCAGCCAATTGCTTTTCATTCTCTGAAATGGAGGAGCTGTGCTATAAAAAAAAACTAATTCTTTCCGTCAAATTAATGCTAGTAGTCTGCACATAAACATTTAAGGTACTGTTTTATTCCAAATTATTCTGCTGTAGAATAGTGGCAAACTATGAATAAGTGATCACTGACGATTCATGCATCGTTTGTAAAAGTTCAATGATGTATATAAATCAATATTAATTATAAGAATAAGAAGAGAAAACTCACATTAACAATTTTGAAAATATCAGAGACCTAACAATCTACTTGTAGAAGACGAATTTGAGTTTAAACAGCGCAACAGAAATGTTATAATTCAGTAATATCAAACAGAAGTCAGTAAAACCGGTGTATGTTAATAGGGGTAAGTTAAAAGGATTAAAATCGGCAGTGATCACTTATTGTGGAAGATGTAACTTCCCTTTGGGACGATCCTGAGTGGTGAAGACATATCCATGTGATCACAAATGTATTGATTACCTCACAGTTACAAGGACTAGATGCGATTTAACCTTGTTGTACCCAGTGCCTTCATTAACCTACTTACATTTGAGTACTTTGTCGTATCTGGCCTTGAAGTTGTGAATGGAGGTACCTTGATAATCATAATTCGTTTTTTCAGGGACAATAGGCAGTGTGTATATATATATATATAATTACTTTAGGCTTATATCGAGGTCTCCACAAACCAGAACTATTGACCTTTCCCAGGAGTTGGCCCGACAACAATTTCCTTAGCTTCCTGTACATATTTACTGCAAGGTGAACAGGAGAAATTAGGAGAAAGGAAGCGTGCCCAACCATTTGTTCCCTGAGGGTATCGAACCTGGGATCCCCGACTGCGTGTTAAAAACAAAGCCAATTGTTCTACCACGACTTCTTTCAGTACATTCCACTTGTAGACCATTAGCAAATAATTCGAGAATTTCCTTACATTTCTTCACCTTAGTTGCTTCTCTAGCCTCTCTACGTCCTCGTGTCTATTCTCTCCCAAATAATAAAAAGTCTCTCCTTTTCTGCCTTGTCTGTTCCTATACTGTGTTATTTATGATCATATTCCTTCTGTTGCCTAGCTTAGGCCCCACATAATTCAGTCATTTGTCTTATTTTAAAGCTCTGCACTTTTTCAAGTTTATTTCGTAAATTGAATGTCGATACTACGTATTCTAATATTGGCCTCAAATATACTGCATAGATTGCCTGGAGAGACTCGTTATTAGCGTTTTTAAAAAATGTTCTAACGTTTACTAGCTTCCCATATGCTGCTGATGTTTCACCAGTTTATATATGCCTCTGGAGTAGATTAATTCTGGTCTGTATCTCTTTTTTTTCATATTTATTACCTTACAATTGTCGGGCTTGAACTCTAACAGCTATTTGTCAGTCCACTGTATGACTCTGGCAAGGTCTTCCTTGCCAGTCATGATTACTTCCAATATGATTACTCGAAAACACAAATGAAAATTTTGCTCTCAGTAAATAATTACCAAAATGTTAAAAAAAAATTATGTGAATCTGAAAGCTTATAGTACCACATGAAGATTTTCTGCTTGCATATGACTCTCTTTCAGGACCGTAGAGAGTCATGATTATAATAGCACTTCTTGGCTTTCCGTCATGCAGGTTTATGTTAATGGAAAAGCTGGAGGTCTTAACCTCCACCTTCCTTATTGAGACTACTCAATAGCAACTGTAGATCTGTAAATCTACAATAGAGATGCAACTGTAGAAGTTGTTGCAGCTCCAACACGCCAAATTGGGTGTTGTTGTAGTTCTAGCTCCTTCACACCAAGGTGGGTGTTGTTGTTGTTGTTGCACCTCCAACACACCAAGGTAGGAGTTGTTGTTGTTGTTGTTGTTGTTGCACCTCCAACACACCAAGGTAGGAGTTGTTGTTGTTGTTGTTGTTGCACCTCCAACACACCAAGGTAGGAGTTGTTGTTGTTGTTGCACCTCCAACACACCAAGGTGGGTGTTGTTGTTGACAGTGTTGCAGCTCCTACACACCAAGGTGGGTGTTGTTGTTGACAGTGTTGCAGCTCCTACACACCAACGTGGGTGTTGTTGTTGAAAGTGTTGCAGCTCCCACACACCAACGTGGGTGTTGTTGTTGACAGTGTTGCAGCTCCTACACACCAACGTGGGTTGATATGTAATGAAAACTTTTTGCTGTGTTAAATGTGAGTTTTGCAGTAATTATTGTTGTCATGTGTAAGTCGTTACATTACCTTCTTTTTTAATCTCAATGTTTGTACTGCTTATTTGTATATACATTCTTTAGATGGTTTATATGTTTTCAATGAGTAATATCTTGTGTGATTTGACTGATCATGTATGTAAGGACATTTACTAGTGCCTTGATTACTATATCATTTAGCGAGCAAGTTTGTTTTTTGTTTGAAAAGACGATGATGGTATCAATGGTCTCCGCAGCTCCTGAATGCTGGCGATCTGTAAACAAGTGATAACAGAAAATGGGAAGGGGAGAAGAATATCGCACCGGTGCTGCCATCTGTTGGTGGCCGACTCTCTGGATAGGATATATTTCAACACTCCCCCTCCAACATAAGGGGCATAACTAGCTGACCTCTCGCGGTGTTCAGGAGAGAACTTGATAAACACCTTCGAAGGATACCTGATCAACCGGCCTGTGATTCATTCATCAGGCTGCAATCAGATGCGTCTAACAGCCTGGTTGACCAGACCATCAACCAGGGACCAGGTGTCAGATTCACTCGGCAGTTACGAACGTGTACATCTTTCCACAATCTTTGACGGCTTTGGTTACATTTATTAAACAGTTTACAAACATGAAAACCACCCAATCAACTGTTGTTATTGTTATAAACAGCTTCCTGGTGCTTCGGAGTTCATTAACTGTTTAATAATTGTAAACAAAACCCCCAAAGATCGAGAAAAGATGTACAGGTTTGTAAGTGCTTGCGTAACTGCTTCGTGAATCTGGCCCCTGGAGACTAGGTCAGAGACCTGGGCAAGAGGACGTCGATCCTCGGAACCAACGCAAGGTAACCGCAAGGTAAGGGCGGGTGTTCGTTAGTACGTATATCTACTACCTTGAAGTTGTTAGCGATAAAAACGAGAATTCAAGTTATCAGGTTGAAAAATTCAAGCTATCTTCTTCCATGAAAAACAAGAAAAACACTGATTATAATACAATTACGGCTATTTAATTTAAAGGTCTATAATATTTACCAAGTAAGTATTACTTTAATATATATAAAGTAAACTGACTTTCGTATGTATGATATCATGCAACATCCCTGCAAATACACAACGTAACGGTCCCTTTGATTCCCTTGATACAACTTGTAATAAAGTTGTTACATCTTGGTATAACGTTTTTATGACGTATTTGGACGTTGTTACAGCTTGCTATATTAGTTGTTACAATTGTTTGGTGTTAAAGCTCGTTCGAACGTTGTAGCAACGTTGTAGCAATGTCGTAGTTTCGTTGTGTGTGTTTGGCGGATATTATTTCCCAATAAACGTCCAACCCGTTCTCACACCAGGCTGTTTAAAGCAGCGGCCGTCCTCTCCAGACGCATTCAAAAATTTTAACATACTGTGTATTAAAAATTGGTTTGTTCTCATATATAAATTAATATATTAATACATACAAATTTTATGTATAGTTTGGCGTAGGTTAGGCTAGGTTACGTGTTTAGGTTCTGTTGGTAATTATTTGTATTTATAAGTTCGTGGGTTGTTGTTGTTGTTGTTGAGTTAGGGGCGACGACGATCGTGGGATCGGATACGCCCCGGCGTACCCGTGAAGGGTGAATCGCAAAGCCAGGAAAGGCGAAATGCCAAGCCAAAACCCGAAACGAGTGACGCCAAGCACTAAAAACTAATATGCCACACGGCAAAGCTACGCACAAAGGGAGAGGCAGAAGCACATAATAGAACAGGGCAAACAAACAGCCAGAAGGGCACACAGCATGTCAGAGCAAATGCACAGGAAATCAGAGCACATACTTGCCCGGGAACTTGGCCCGCGAGAACCTTACATTAATCGCCTCCCAGAGCACCCATTGCCAAGGGTCTCGTCCATCCACCGGGTACGCCATAACATCCGGAACCGGGGCAACAAATACCTGCAAACTGGGTACCCAGATGGTAGAACTCATAAGGCGAGAAGTCACCACTCGCCCCCACAGGAAGGGAACTTTCTCCCCACGAAAGCATTCCGGTCCGTCAGACAGCAGTAACTCGGCAATCTTCGACCAGTGACCCGGTAGCATCACAGACGCCGGCAACACGTCCCCCAGGGCCCCAACGCGCACCCACACCACAGGGGTACCCGCGGCCCCGGGCACACCACCAGACGACAGCAGGGAACCCGGACGGCGCGCATCCTTCCGTAACGTCACCACCAGGCCACGCCCAGCACCAGAGTCCACACCATCCCTGGCAGCGGAAGCCACCACCCCCCACTGTGGAGAGTCCCCCGGCGGAGAAAGAGCCGAAGGCACGTCCGAGACACATGCATCAGCACCGGCAGGCACATGGACCTCCGCCACCACGAACCGCTGAGACATCGACGCATCCGTATCCACACTGTCAACATCCGAAGCCCCACAGTCACTGAAGCCACCAACGTCGGCCCAGGAAGAAGACGAACGCCGGGAACGTTTGGGCACCGGCCGGATATCGTCAGAGCCGGTAAGTGACCCAGAAACACGGGTACCACGAGCCGAAGGAACCGACGCCAGGACGGCAGCAGCCTCAACCACAGGGGGAACCGGGCCACACACAGCAGGAGGCTCCGCAGCCACCCCAGCACCAAGCACATCCGGGACCCGAGTCACGGACACAGGGCCAGGCGCAGCATCAGAAGACGAGGGAGAAGACAGCGACGTCAAACAGGGAGCTCCAGGAAGGCCCACGGGAGCAGTTGGGACAGCGACTGGATCAGGCAGACCAACCGACGGTACCTCAAGAACCGGAGGAACGGCAGGCGCCGCCGGG